TGTATCGAAGAGCGCTCACTCTGCAGCAAAATCTAGGGACCAAAAAGTTCTCCCTAGATTTTGCTGCAGAGTGAGCGCTCTTCGATACAGGCTGCTGTGGACATGGAGGAAGCTGCACCAAGGAAGAGAGGCTTAGTCCTCTAAGGCTCTGAGATGATGTTATCTTCTGCCTTCTGCTTAGAAGCGGTGAATTCACAGCTCACAGCAACTTAATACAATACAGTCTCTGGCTTGAGTTTGAAATGCAGTATCTGCAAAAAATGTTGTTGCACATTTCTGATTCATCTTTAGCGCAGTTAGCTTGTTTACTATATTTCGTGGATGTCGCCGTCACACTGAATGCTGAAATCCTGTTCAAACTCTCCAACTTCATATGGAAAAAAAAGGAATCAATTGTTGAATATTCGTATTGAACAGCCATATCTGATCTGACTGACATACATCTGAGTCAGGTACAGCCCTACAATGCAGGAACAGAATCTTGGTATATATATTCAATTAGCTCTGCCTCATTGTACAGTGTGATTGGTGTTTGAGAGAGAGAGAGAGAAGGCATCTCTTTCTCTCTATCTGCTTCTATACTTTTTGTGTCCGTGGTGTGGGGCATAAGAAAATGCAAAAGAACAATCTGCAGTTTGAGCAACAGCCGTAGAGTGAGCAAAAATCTGGGTTTGAGCAGAGACATGAGCCGGTTAGAACTGGTGAAATGGAGGGAAGTTTACCACAGTTCATTTAAACACACTACCCATGTTGTTATTGTTGTTACCAATAACTATTTTCATTATGGATTGATCTGACAAGAAAACCATGGAAATGCTCAACACAATATCCCGAAAACCCAAGGTGACACCTTCATGCATCTGGTTTATTTCAACAAGCAATCCAAAACAAACAGATTCTGCCGATCAACTAATTGTTTCAGCTCTAGTACACAGCCATTAGACCAACACATCTGTTTTTACAGACAACAAATGCGTGACTTAGCTTGTAATGAGGCTGTCAACGACATGAACTGATGGTTTATTCTGCCAGAAAAAGCCTCGACTTAACTCATCCTTGGATATCCAAGGTTGAGTTGTTATGGTCAGGATCAGTTTGCCTGTCAGATCACAGGGACAAGGTTAGGTGATTCAATTGGCTGTAAGAGATAAATCTGCAGCTATTTTCTACACCAGCCTTCTAGAGAAGGTTCAACTGACTTGATATCCACATGACAGCAACACTCTGCCCACCCTTAAAGCTAAAACAACAAAAACAACCACAAATGCATGAAACACAAACAAAGCTCGAGCTGAACACCTAATCTGCAAGGAAACACAATTTTGATTTTGAAGCAACAGCAGTGCGAGACGGTAAAGCGGTAAAGATGTTCCATTACTGTACCACCACTTCCTTTCACACGATATCCCTTTATTACCATCTCGCCTAATCGCTCTCTTTATCTGTGTCTCTAGCAAAACATTGCTCTTCTTCAATAAGATGAATTCATTCATTTACTGTAATGTCTTAATGTGTATATTTGTCTTTGGCTTCAGTGAGATTGGGCTCAAATTAATTACAGGACAACACAAGACAAGAGGAAATATATACCGAATAGCATGGTTCCAAATGCATCATCTGAAATTAGAAACGGCATCATTCAGTCAACAGTCTAAGGGAAAGTCTGAGGGTTGCTGGCCTCAGAATTTACTAGTGCAATAGGAGAAGACAGCTTTGTGCACAGACTTGTATAACAAGGCCAAAGCATTACAACGGCTACCATTATCTTCGCTCTGATGCAGCCATGACAGTACAGGCACTGACTGGCATTGGTTGCATCTCGGGCGACAAAGTCACCGGTGTAAATTGAAAAATACCTCTGGTGGTCTGAGTAAACTGAGCTTTCTAAATTGGCAGCGACAGCAAAGCTAAAAATAAGGAGTGTTTATGCTGATTTGTAAAAGTGGGGAAAAAACTTCAACAGGTAGTCCTGGAAAAGAGTTCTTGGGAAGGCCAGGGGGCTGAGCGAGTCCCTGGGTACCCCGAGCTGAGGGTTTGTGAGGACCTACTCTCCCAGGAGTGACTGAATGCACAGTGGGAAACAAAGCCCCTGCTTACTTTGGGACTATTCCCAGGACAAGGCTCTTTCTGGGTGTGCTTATATCGTTAGCACAGCGAGAGGAAAAAAATAACCTCAAAGCATAAGGAGGAAAAGGCCCCCCCAAACAAGAAGACAAGAGACGGCATTAAAAGAGAAAACCAGAGTAAGAGACTGAGAGAAAAGGCTGGATAATTTCCTCTTCAATTGCTGAAAGCACTTTAACTGACGAGTACTTGTCAACATTGAGCTCCCAGGACTTAGTAACAATTGTTACTATGCTGCTGTATGTGCTGTGTTTACTAAGTCAATGCACTGTACTGTGTCCAATATCCATTAACGACAGCAGTCTTTACTACCCTGGGGAACATATGTAGCTGAACATAACTCAGCACCCCTCTTTTACTTGAGCTAAGTAATTACTGGAGATGGGCTATTATGCCTTTTGGTATGTCCACATCAAACAGAATACCTTAAAGTGAATATAATTAGCAATCTGTTAGGAGCTGTAGCTGCTCACATTTAGGCAGTTTTATATTATAAAATGGCCAATTATTGGCCAAGTGCAATATCCAAACTCCAAGAGCTGCAATTTTGATAACAGTAAAACATGTCACAAGATACCACTACTAATGAAGGACTGGGGTGCTACAGAGATGCCCTGGCCTACAACTTATATTCCAGACGTTAAGGAACATACTTGTTTGGTACAGACCTCAGCAAGTTTTTACAGTGAAAATGAAATGAAAAAAATTCCATCCCCACTAAAATCTAAAATCACAACTCATATCACAGTATCTGTCAATTTTTTGCACATCACGTAGCCCTACTTTTGGTGTACGTGACTGATGTCAGATACTATGTTGACTTCTACAAATACTACCAAGCTTTAAAAAGTTTTAACCACACACACCTGCACCCCAACACTTTAATAGAATAAGTAACCACTGCCCCAATTAGATTTCGCTGACATTCAACAGAGTTTACAGAGTGAAGGCCATATTCTGCTGACATGAATTGCATCACAGCTCAACGATGAACATGACCTGGCTTGGTGGACCCTCCCTGATGATGCTCACAGACTGAAAATAGCAAGAATGTGAAGCAACTACACAGGTATGTAGAAGGTAACAACTCACAGTAGTTTACAATGGACATCTGACACAAGTATGTGGAGTAGTGAATGGTTTGGTTTCAACTCAGCACTGACTCAGAATAAATACTTTCTCAACAAGGATAGCCTATCCACCTAATTCCTGAGGGGAATTCTGTAGAAATGATTATGGGCGCAGCTTCCAGTGAGATAGCGGAAGTAGCAGTAAGCTAGTTAGTCCCATAGACTCTCTGTGGTTAGTTAGCATATGAGAAATAAAACCACAAGAGTTTCATGAGACAGAGCGAAAATGTATTAAATCAGAATTTGCAAAAGAGAATGACATCTAGACTGATAGGTCCGTCACTCAACGTCGGTACATGATATCCCTGTCTTTCCCCGTCCCCGACTTCATTCTCAACCTACATTAGCATATTGCTCATTATAAAATAAACTCAGCAACATACCTTGAAATATGTATTTAGTCATTAGGGCTGAGTATGTGTTACTGATTTACCGTAATTCCTTTATATCATATAAAAACATGAACACCAAAAGTTATTTCTTCTACGACTACTCTATATTACTAAAGTCTGCTGCTTAATTCAGCTTCATGTTTCACTCAGAACAGTTTTTAATAAATCAGAAGTTAAAAAAACGTGTAAACAGATTAGCTGGGAAACATCACATCTATTCACTCTACATGGAGCTACAGTTAATACTGAATTATGTTAAATGTTTGCCGCATGTGTTAGTATCTCTTAATAAGTCATCAGAAATCATAAATCATCTTTAGAAGGAGCAGATGTTTAACTTACGCTAGCTCGGGCCATGTTAAAGTTAACCATATTTTAACGGAGCGAGGCAAGCTAATTGCTAGCGTACTCAGTTGAAAAGGAAAAACAATGCGTTGAGATGGCTGTCAGAGGTGGCAGAGGTGTGATCACATAATTCCGTTTGAGCTGTAACAGGTGGTGTGTGTTCCACATTTTATTTCCCAGTTGCTCTTGGAAAGAAGAAAAGAGCACCGCAAACAAACTGTTACCATTGGAAAACGCCGGAAGTTGATAATTCACGCAAGGTATCATGGGGGCTAGCAGGGGTGGACTGGCCATCTGGAGGTTCTGGAGAATCACAGAACGGCCGGTACTCCAGGACGGCCGGCGACCACCATGCAGTCATCACCTTTTTTTTTTTTTTTTTTTTTTTTCCTTTTTCTCCCTGATAATCTACTGTTCCACGTCCAGTCCGCTAGGTGGTAGCCTTTAAACTGAATGCCAGCCAGCACATAGATATCTATGAGCCGGCCAGCTGCCAATCAAACTGAAGGAGAAGGAAGCGCATACGTCACGCAAATCGAGCAGCCGTGTGCAGCAGGTGCAGATGGGAGAGACATTACAGCCTCTTTACATTGTGATTTATCATAACTCATACCATGTCTTGTTGTGTGTTTCAGGCAGTCACCTGCATTGTATTGTTCAGAAGAGAGACATCTGGACTGTGTCGTTTATTTCTCAGTGAGTATTCCACACTATGCTCTTAACACAACATCTAGTCAACATCGGTGCTATTGCTATAATTTGGAAGGTATACTATCATGTGTTAAGATTTAAGTATTTTGACACCCGTGTCTGGGGCTGATGAGTTTCCACGCACTGGTTGTTGTGGGCTGGGCCGAGTCAAAGTCCAGGGCTGTTTTTTAGTCCCAGTCCGCCCCTGGGGGCTAGGAATAAGGTGAATAAGATTTCCCAACTAAAACAATGACTGACTGCTCAATTTTGTATTGTTACAACAAAAAAAACAGTATGCGTCATAAGTTTGTCCACTTACCTGAACAACTTCTATTCCTCTTTTCCTGAAAAATAAGACAAAAATAAAAGTCATTAATCTGACCAAAAACAAAAAGTTATCAGTCATAAACAGACACTGCAATGCATGGAAGTATCTAATTCCATAACATGCAAGACGTTATGTAAATGTGAGTTTTTCTTAATATATATATATGTATAAAAAAAAAGTAAATGTGTGTCAGGCACTATTGATGAGCTACTCAGTGGATGAAAAGATCTGAACGAGCCCACAGAAAAGCAGAAATCCAACACAAGCTAAGTGATCCAACAAATATATTTTACTTGCATAGTGAAAGTGACAAGAACGCACAGTCCTGTTAATTACTGTTTGTTTCTTTCACTTTAATGTTATGAAATATAGCTAAGTAAAACCTGCTGTTGCATCAGTTGCTCTTGCTGGATTTATTTCCTTTAAACTGTGAAGGTTCCTTTTATTCTTGACATAAACGTGATGACAAAACAGTTCCTCTTCATACGAGAGAGAAAACAGAAACTTGCCGAGGTCTTAAAACACTTTGCACAGATATGGACATGAGCTACTGACACATGAGCCTATCTGTGCATAGATGTCAAACACAAACAAACAGTGAAAGTAAATTGTTCAGTGTAGTCGTCTGGTTATAGCAGGACAGCAGAGAAGAGCCACGGAGATTGTAAAAAAAAAAAAAAAAAAAATTCCCATCCCAGAGCTGAGGAATATTCCACTTTATAAATACTAGTCTTTGGATCAGAAATAGTTGCTTGGCAACCAGCAGACCACTATAAGAGTGGAGTTTTTGGTGGAGGTGACTATCATAAGATAGTGCACCACTAAACCAGGGCTGCACAATGTATTGGCTTTTTAAAAAAAATTAATCTTCATTGCAATGTCAACTTAGGTAATAAACACATTGCGAAAGACAGTGATGTTGCACTCAGGAATTTTTTGAGTTAGTTGAACGAGAGTATGGGTAGAAAACGTCACTATAAAATGTAACTTGTGTTTTACGTCTTTTGTGTTAAATTCAGTGTTCTTTTTGTTCAATTAACTTTCAGTTTTTTAAATCTAGTAAACAATTTGTAGTATTTTAGCAGCATACTGAGAGCTGCAGTAAGGCAAAACTAAGTACACTTTAATATCTGTTTATGTATCCCAAGTAATATCGTTAACATGATATTCAACAATGGTATTATATTTTACGCATGAGGAACCTGGACAGATCTCTTCTCCTTATCTCTGCAACGTCTTCTTCACATACAGCGAGCAAGATATGCTGTCCAGATATGCTGTGAGTGACGACAACATTCAGAGAGTCTATCAAGCGCTGATCAAGCGGAAGCAACAGTTTGCTGTTGTGCTGACAATAGGTTGGAGGTGTGCAAAGCTTTGCTGAAGTAGAGCCAGGGCAAGAGTTCTATCAGACAAGCGACACGGCACTTAGCCTTTTCACAGACACACAGAGTAGGTGAGGGCATCTTCATTGGGAAAACTGAAACAATCTCAGTTAGGAAGAGGTGTGACAGTAAACAGCAGTGTTAAAGTAAATGTTTAACCACAACCACTTGTACATAATTAGAAGGCAAGATGACTTCTCTTTTAAAAGAGTTTTTCAGGAAATCTGTCAATGGCACAGAGGATGTCCCTCATTTGTTTAACATGTTGGATTTATGTTCAACCTAATCCCACCACCGCTGAAAGACAAATAACTGCCCAAACAAAACAGTAGATGGACAGAGACATTCTCACATTTCTGGTGGAGCTGGCTTGTCAAGTGACCTGTCTAGCTCCATTCTACACATCAGAAAAAAACATATATAACAAGTAAAATTTAAATGGACCAAACAACACATATCCTAGTTGGGGGAATTTACGATGAACGCGCAAAACCAGTCCAGCGCCACAACCGACTCAGTCAGTCCAGCCCAGTTGTTTTTGAGGTTACAGCCCCATGGTAACAGCAGTGCAGCCATTCACCGCTTCACAACAATGTGGATATTTAATACTGCAGCTGGCGTGTTTCATGTGGTGTGAATGGGGCCTTTAGTTTCGTCCCATCTCAGATATGGAGATCATCTGCTCTCCTATATTGTTACACAGCCAGCAGAATGAAAGGGATGAAGGAGGAGACCCAGCGGAGAAGCAGGCCAAGGTCAGACCTTTTTCAATAGGAGGTTCAATGAAAAACAAGACACTTTTTATTGCACCGTTTCTTACTGACACACAGCACCATATATTCGTAAACTCTAACCCTAAAACTGGGTATGATGGTACACCATAGACATGGCTACTGCCCTGCATGACAGTATGTGATTACAAAGTTTACGTGCTGGTGTTATTTGAGAATCTGTTGATGTGATCAAGCAAACATTAGACAGCCAGGTGAAGCCGCATTACCTGTTTGGGCTGTTAAAACCCTGTTTTGTGTGTTCCCTGAAATCAACACCATCAGCTCCTTGCATGTTATACTTGTCACAGGTTTTGAATAATCACAGTTTCCCCATCACTGGGTGAAGGACTACAAGCATACAGTGGGTGTAGCTCAATATAATCTCATTAGACTTGTTGTCCTAGCGAGGCCTCGCCTTGACAGGACAAAATGACAATATTTTCACATCATCCAAAGTCGCTGAGGCTGGCTGTTTTCAAGGGCATTGCATTATTCCAAATCAGGTATATGCGAGTCAGTAGGAAGCCTTGAAATTGCTGTGCAAGCCGACGGGACAAAAACATAAACCCCAGTGGGTCTGACAAGCAGGAATCCCTTAAGTCCAGCTGCACAAGACAGGGCAGCTCCACACTGAAGCACTCACAATGTCAGCTGCGTGCCACATGATGAGAGGGGAAAAAACCTGCTCAGTCACTACGAGAGTATGACACTGGCACATCCTGTCAGGGTGAAACATTTGGCTTATCTTTGATAATACAGCCTGACGAGTCAAAAACTTGCACATATCTATCTGTTCAATAAAATCAAGGAGCATGAAATGATATTTGGAGAGTGTGATATTGCCAAGGAAACCAGTACTTAATAAATAGAACTGGTTTACTGCCTTAGGGTTTGTTAATAAGCTGACACTAATGCACACCAGCAGCATGACTGGCACACCCTTGGAAAGTTGTACCTCCTGGTAAGACAAAATGCCTTTTAAATAGCAGTTGTAATGTATATACAGGTACCACACATAGGAAGGTTATCTTATTCCCATCTTTTCCTTCCTCTTGAAGATGCCTCTTGCTTTCTAACATGGTATATGGTGAGGGAAATATGTCAAGCAAAGAACCAGAGGACTAGTTTCAGTAGGTGATCGTACACATGATACACCCTATTTACTGCGTGGCTCATTTCCATTTAAATGTGTGGGTGTTTCTTGTTGTTCCTGTATAAAGCTATCAATGTAACTTCATCTTCTTGCTCTTCTTCAGCTTGTCACAAACACCCTTTAACACTTGCCCCCTGCCCTTCACACTGAAGAGCCCTCAGACCAGCTATGAGGGAAGACTGGGGTAAGCAGGATGCAGGGATAAAGCCAGGAGAGGTGTTACTCGGAGGTTTATGAAGAGATTAAAAATGTTTTGGTGGATTACAGTGTGGTAATCTGTGCTGGCTCAACCAGGTTGCTTTGTGAGGCAACAACCCTCTTTAAAAAGGTAGGAAGTGATTGCCTGCTGTAATGCACGCTGACCTACCAGGGTGCATTCTTGCTAAATCAAATGACTGAAGACTATTAAATGTTTTCTCCATTCTCTCTCACTGTTAGCTGCTGCCGTTGTTTGTAGTTTCAGGATGACTGTGGTCCTTATGCAGCATAGACAGCCAGGCAATGTTGCAATAAGAGATGATAAGGCGCCTGCCATACCTTGGAGCCATTCCCCAATCCAGTATACTGTGTAACAGCTATTGTAAATCAGTGAGGGAGAGTTCACATCTCCTGAAGTCATGTCTGCTGAGAAAATCCATGCCCTACTTTATAAGACCTTATATAACATTTTTACTTGGCCGGAGAAGGATAAGCTACAAGAAGATAACATACATACAGCGCTCATATAGCTGTTCCTCTCAAGGCTGGGCAGCAAATCCTTGCCACTGCAGAAATACACCCTTGAACAAATTCATGTTATGGCGATGCAGTTGGACAGCTATGTCTCTTTCCTCTAGATAATGTCTCACAACTAAACACAGACAGCTAAGACTGCTCCATGTGATATCACCCTCTTCCAATAAAAATCCTTGTAAGATACAGTAATGATCAAAGGTTAACTTTGTGGCACATATTCTGCTCTAGATATGTTAGCAACACAACAGAGATTTCTTTTTAATCCACACACACCGGCCTTACAGTTTCATGCTTCAGGACAACTGACTAAATAATAACACCTGTTTTAGCTGCTTGTCCTGTTACACATGCGCCTTAGGGCACCACACTCCTACCTACACACATTCCCTCCTCCCACTATGTCTCGACAGGCACTGAGTCAAGTCAGTGGCACCGTACCTTGGGGTATGCATACATACCAATTTATAAAGAAACGCCTTCGCATTATAATGGAGGGAGGACACACACAGGACACACAGGCTTTATCAGCTGTGTGGAGAACAGTATCTCGCTCCCATGAATGCTGAGTGTGTATTGTAGAGGTGACAAATAATCCTGGTTCTGACATGAGCAGGGAAGTCACTGATGCTGTGTGTGAGTATGAAAGAGGACGTTCAAATGAAAACTACTCCCTCTGAGAGCAGAAGAAATGATAATCAGTCCCTGTTGTCATCAAGTCATTAAGAGGAAATGCAGTGTCTGTGTCAGCACACCCAGTGGAGGGGTATACACTCACCTATCAGCCAAAAAGCCATTGAAATATATAGGAAAGTACACTCATCTATATAGTAGCACACCCACCTCATCACCTAGCACTAAACCACTGACTGAGCACACCTCTTAGCTCACTGTGACACACATTGTAAATGACATACTATGTGAATGTATGTGACCTGGCTTGGATGCATCATATTAGTGTCACATACCTGCACAAATCAGCAAAGGCCTGAAAATTCAGCTTCTTCATCTTCTTCTCGCTGAGCCAGTAGCCGACTCTCCGGCCTTTCAGGAAGGTCTGCATCTCCACTGTGCTCCTGATCCTTCTCTGGAGGTAAACGATGTGACTGAAGGCTCGACCTGGACACACGCAAACAGGAAACCCAACGTATATGTCTTACAACAGCCGATAATGAAGGGAGTACTCAAGTTCACGAGTCACACACAGCCAGAAGTGGCGCTTACTTGTCTGCCTCATTGAGCTAAACGCCCTCACGCTTCACATTATCTAGTTTACAAAACATTATAGTACAGTAGCTGTGGTTGAGCATCAGCGAACCACACACGCTGACCCCTTTTCGCTAACCTCAACTGCTAACGTTAGCTAGCTAGCTGGGCAGAGACAATCTGCATAGCTAACCGATGGCATGCAATTAGAAAACAAGCTAGCGTGCTAACAAGACGGAGCAACGTTAAACGGCTGAACAGATCCACAACACCCCTGAGTACCGAATGAATTAACTAACCACGGCTAGCAACGGCTAGTTGACTAAAAGATGAAGCAACTGACTGCACGGTAACTACGTCAAAAAGAGGCTGTGGTGAGCTAGCATTAACTAACCTGGCAATTTTAGCACAGTTCCCCCCTGAATGTGTGTCCTCTTCAGAAACTAGCTCGGGTAGTTTCCCATTCTCGGTCCGTGCTGGGGAGAAGGAGAAGAAGTTTTCAAACAAGGTGACAGATGACAGGCACAGCTGTGCTCACGTTGAGATGTTCCTGGTGCTTTCTCCCTCAGTCTCTAGGTTGAACTGACTGCACACACCCAGGAGCCAGGAGACTGACGCTGCCTTCACGGGCCCCTCGGAAAATACCGCTCCCAACTGACGAATCACAGTCTGGCCTGTTTTTACGTGCTGTTGCACTTTCGTAATCGATTAACTTGGCAGATTGTTTTCTCGAGTAATCGATGGATCAGGTTGTCTATTAAATGTCCATCTCAACTTCACAGTTATCTTGTTTTGTTTGGTCAACAGTCCATTGATATACAATTTTCACTAAATATAAAACAGAGAAAATCAGCACATCTTCACATTGAAGAGGCTGGAGTGAGCAAACGTTTTGCTTTTTTCCCTGAAAAATAAGTATTTTATTTAATTTAATTTTTTGTTTGATGACTAATTGATTCATTCATTCAAACACACAAAATGTCCTGTTGAAGGGAGCATGAAGTGGATAAGAGACCCTAAAGAATGATTACTCTAGGGTTATGGGGGCATGCAATAGAAACTTCGATGTTACACATGTAAATACATAATAAAAAATAATAATAATAATAATAATAATAATAATAATAATAATAATTTCATGTAGGACACAGAGAAATAGGTCCATAGCATAAATTCAGGGATATGCAAGTTGCTATGCGCAGAGGCCACTTTGCCAGGGGCCAGTCACTACAACTCCACAGGGGTCGGGTGTACACAGGGGTGTTTCCAGGATTTGAGGACATTCGGGGCTCAGCCCTGACCTCTGTCGGGGGCCTGGAATCCTTCCTGACGCTTTTGTGATAAACAAGCTCTATTTTGATGCTTTTTATGCACCCTGGCACCCTGATATTTACATTAAAAGTGGAAAAAGTCCATTTTGAATTTAGTTGTAAATTAGCATTCTGCCCCTGTCGCAGGCCACATTTGGCCCATGGGCCACTAGTTGAATAGTGGAAAATAGGCTGGAGCCTATCCCAGCTGACACTGGGTGAGAGGCAGGGTACACCCTGGACAGGTTGCCAGAGTATCGCAGGGCTGACACATAGAGACAGACAACCATTCACACTCACATTCACACCTACGGCAAATTTAGAGTCAGCAATTAACCTGCATGTCTTTGGACTGTGGGAGGAAGCTGGAGTACCTGGAGAAAACCCATGCTGACACGGGGAGAACATGCAAACTCCGCACAGAAGGGCTCCCTCCTGGGATTGAACTTAAATAGTTGAAAGTGCTATAAATGATAATGGAATAATTTCTGTATGTAATGATAGGCACACAACTTATTTATGTCAGTCCAAAATAATAATTTTGAATTATTTCTACTTAAAAATATGTATCTAGCCACTGTGTACTATAAACTAGTATGGTCAACTTAATTGAAAGGATAACAAAAAAACGTAACGTGTGCAGTAACCAAGTTTACATCTGTTTAAAGCAGTTGTTTATTGATGATCATCACTTTAACAGCAATATTTGTTTTCATCATCAAGGCAAAAGATACCAACAGTAGGACTGTTTTTCCTCTCGGGACCCAGAGTTCTTAGCTCAGTCCCTGCACTGCATATTCACCATCTTATTGGGCTGTTCATGGCGAGTGATTAACATTTCCGACAGCCTTTAAAGGCGCCCGGGATGCGGTCAGAGAAGTTCAGTGTGTTCCCTGTAAGCACTGCCTGTGTGTTTGTCATCCACACCACATACATGAAGAATCAATAAAGTTAAAGACAGAATGCACTGGGTTGTGAATTTGTATATAAACCAATTGCAGTTTGCATTATGAACCGATGCCCTATTGTCCCACCACCGCTTGCATAATGACAGCACCCTCATGCAATGCATCCACTGTTTTCAGCATGAGCGCATATTTTCGGCGGGCGTCCTGATAGAGAAACACATCACAGTGGCGCCATCCATCGGAAAACCACTGCAACATACAGCAGTTGTGTTTTTTTTCCCTTTTACCAGTTTTAACGCTAAAACAACAACAACCACTATAACTCACAGGAAAAACGTTTAACATGACACAGTAAATGACACATAAATAATCTCTACTGTCACTATACAGGCATCCTCATTGTATTACTGCGCATATAGCCATTTACGAAGAATAAAATAAGGCAATGAAATAAGACACTTACTCTAAACAATATAAATACAACATACAATTTATAATTTTTATCTATTACTTGTGTTTATTTATGAGTGCACCTGAATGTGGCTGTATGTTTGTACAATAATAAAGAAATCTGAATCTTAATCTGAATAAAAATATAAAGTATAATACAATACAGTAGCCTCAATTAGTTATTCAAGTATTCAACATTATTTTAATTAGCCTTTATATGACCATTAGCCTACACTATTTGAACGTTTCTGACTATTTGTCCTAATTTCATGAATGAATTCAAAAGACTTACGCTTGAAAATTACCATGACGTCTTGAAAACAAAATAAACAAAAATATTTCAAAAATACACATCAGCAGAGACGCCATTAAGGTGGCAGAAGGGAAGACACGGACACCACCAGCAATCTCCAACCTCTCTCCTGACTTCCATCTACCACCTGGACAGGTATGTAACATCCTAAAAAATTGGGTCCAAATTCAACTTAATTTTTATCATTTTTAATGATGGTTTACTGCATGCCACCATGAGAAGGACTGGTCACCATAGCATACATACGATGATATAACCAAATGAATGCTACCTGCTTTAATTAAAAATCACTACTGAAAAAGACATAGTACCGAACATTCAATTACTCAGGTAGTTGATTGTTAACTAGTGCATTGCGTCACTTCCTCCACGTGGTCTTGGCCCAAACTCCCGCCCGAACAATCATCATTTGTCAACACTGTTGTGCAGCTCACACCGGTGTGTCTGTGTGTGTCTTTGTGTCCTCTTTCTTCTCTCTTACCAGAATGGCTGCACACAAAGAGGACTCGGACCCTGACGATATTCTCGCCAACGAGGAGGAGCTGGAGAAGGCTCTGTGCGTGCTGGCTGGAAGCGACCCGGAAAACTGCTCTTATTCTCGGGTAAGGAAAGCTTCCTGCACCGCAGCCCTGCAGCCATCGCCTTCATCCGCCTACTGTCGCCTAGTCGCTTTCTTCTAATACAGCAGTTGTAGATGTAGTAGTGTGTGTGTTCAGTGTGGCTGTGTGTAAGCTGTAGTTTCATTGTTAAGTATGTTATTATAATTGCCAATAAAAGGGTTTGTATTCTCTGAAGGACACTGGAGTGAAACTATGACATTAAAATCCTTTTGCATGGTACCACTGCAGCATTTCTATTCAGAGAATATAAAATAACACGTACAGTCCTTTATTACAGGGTGCATGTCATCAGTAATATGCATGCTGCTGTGTATGTGTTGCAGGGCTACGTGAAGAGACAGGCTGTGTTTGCCTGCAACACCTGCACTCCCAGTGCTGCAGAGCCTGCTGGGGTCTGTCTGGCCTGTGCCAATAAGTGCCACGATGGGCATGACATCTTTGAACTGTACACCAAAAGGTATTTTGTGCAAGCTTTCTGTGCTGATGATTCAAAATTCAGTCCGACAGTTTGCCTTATCCTTTTCATTTCCCTGTTTTTCTAATGTAGAAATTTTCGCTGTGACTGTGGAAATGGCAAGTTTGGGGCGTTCAAGTGTCAGCTAACTCCTGTAAGTCTTTTAGTTTTACAGCAGTTTCCAATTTCATCATCATGCTCTGATTGTTGAAGTTATTCCACCTCTTGTATTCACAGGCCAAAGACCAGGAAAACATCAGAAACCTCTACAATCACAACTTCAGTGGCTGCTACTGCACGTGTGACCGGCCGTACCCAGACACAGATGATCAGGTATTCCCTTTATTTCCTCATTAACTCTGAACATTCATGCAATTCAGATTATTTGGATCGAATCTACTGTTTACGTTTGTCATCTGTCATCACACAAAACACCTTTTTTAATTACCCAATAGACCGACGATGAGATGATTCAGTGTGTCATCTGCGAAGACTGGTTTCACAGTAGGGTAAGCATAAGTCATATTATTGAAATCACATTACAGAGTGCTTTTTTCCCATTCAAATTCATATTTAAGTCATTCTGTTTGTGTTTGACAGCACCTCGGCTGCACTGTAGTGGAACCTGAGGAGCTGCAGGAGATGATATGCGAGGCCTGCATGAACAAGGCTCCCGTCTTGTGGACGTATGCTGCTCACTTTGCAGGTGACTAATAATTTGTCAAGGGCAGCAAGTATAGACCACATTGTAAACATTTAAAAGTGAAATGCAGATAGAAATTTTTCCATCTGTCTGTCCCCTTTAGCACCACCTGTGATCAGCGTCAGTCATCCCAAGGAGGAGGTAGAAGTCGATGTGGAGGAGAGAACAGAGAAGGAAGAAGCCTCTGAGTCCAGTCAAGGTAGTGATGAGGAGCTATCCACCACTGCTGAGCACACAAAGCAGGAGGTGAGAAACTCATGGTGCCTTTTTCTGTTTGCATTAAGGGTTTGCCATGTCAAGAACAAGATCAGATAGGAGGGAGTTAAAGTAAACACTAACACCAAATCTGTTCTTTTGCTAACCCTGCTATGAAATTATTTCATATGGGATGGCTATGGTAACCACACACAAGCCTTCATGTCATCGGACAACTTCAGGTGGTTTAATAATCAGAAATTTGGTTGTGTCAGAGTCAAAATACAGTTTACTGACAATATAATGCCATGTCCATACAACTGCATTTAATGACTGACGCTGGCTGATGTGAGGCAGCCATGTTTGTTTGGTTTTCTGGCACTTCCAAATAACAGTGCCAAATTGAATTATATCTGAGCCTTCCCAGTCGCAGTTACAATTTGGATGTTGAACACTATTTACAAGTCGGAAACTTGTTATTATGAACACTCCTGTGACACGAACGCATGCATTATCGCAGTCCTCTAGGGCTTTGCTGGAAAATGGAAGTAACATAAATGTATATGTTTCCATCAGTGGTTTTGGTTGCATTCTCCTTCAGCTGTGCTCATGGTATATTCGGAAAAAAATACACAGGTGCAGCACTTGAAAGTTTTTGACATAGACATGGGT